AGGGAAAGAATCAGTATTTCGGATTCAGTTGATGTTGGTGGCTAAGGCTCACCTACTCGCTGTCTCTGCATCCCTACCTGCATCACTCTGCTGGAAGTAATCACGGGCATCAGCTACCGTGCAGCTTAATGCAGATAAGATTAGTGCTCAGAGTCTGCCCGGTGCCGCCAAACTGTAGATGCTGGGAGCCTTGCACCCATGTAATTCGCGGTTAGCAGAGCATGTAAGCAGAAGTCAGTTGTTGTTGTTTTTTTTTTTTTTTTTTTTACCCTGCATTATTAGTCTGCAGTATTTATGTGTGGCAGCTGCTAATAACATCCTGAAGGGAGATCAGTGTCAATGGTGAAAGGCTGCACCTTTTTTCCTCCTCCCAGCATCAGAAAATATCTCTCCCTCCTCCCCCCGCCACCACCGTAAACATACTGGCTGACCCTAAGTTGCATCTGGAATTTCTAGCCCCCTGTTTAGGCTATAGCTAAAAACAAACAAAGTTAAAGGCTTTAAACATAAGGAGAAGTATCCAACATCTGGAGGGGAAACGTGGAGCTGAGAGTGTAAGAAACTGTAAGTCCTGTTATTCTCTCATCAGTTAATAGGGATGTGAAGTAGCCAGTGACGACTGCTGCAGCAGCAGCATGTCCGGGTGGTTATTTCCCAGTACGATAGCAATAGAGGGGGATGTAAGGCACAAGGAGCAGGAGCAAAAAAAAAAAAAAAAAAAAAAAAAAAAAAAAAAAAAAAAAAAGATCTGGGGGGGGAGTAAGGGCAAAGGGGCAGGAAAAAAAAAAAAAAAAAAAAAAGAAAAGAAAAAGAAAAAGAAAAAAAGATCTGGGTAGCAAGAGCGAAAAAATAAAAAAAAATGTGTATGGAAACAAACAACAAATTGCATTTGGCAGCTGACATAGCAGTTAGCACAGAATTCAGAAGTAGTACAGGAAGGTTTTTCACTTGCACCAAATGAAATGACTGGGTGGAGGAGGGTGGAAGGGGAATGCACGTTACGGATTACACGGTGTACCAAGAAATTATTCAGAAAGTACGTGTCGAAACTGTAGCTGCCCTTAATCCTGAAAGTAGTTATTTCCATTCTTGCTCTGTGCAAATGCAGCCAGCGGGATATTGGTGCATTCATCCGGGTGGATTGCTTGTGAAAGGGAGCAGTAGGAAAATGTACTGCTGTAAAGTGTGCATTGCAAAAACAAGTAGTAGTTGGAAATTATGGATTTGTTGTGCCTTAGAAAAAACAATAATGCTGTTCTGTATGGTTGTGTTGACAGTGCTGTCTCCACATAAGAAATGAGATGTAATGCATCCTGCAGTCCATGCATGCCTCCTCTTGCAAATCGCGCATCATCCCTCTGTGGAAACCTTTAAGTCCTAAAATCTGGGAAAAGAGAGTAAAAACATTATCATGGACCTGAGGGATTTTTACCTGTTGGCTGCTCTGATTGCCTGTTTAAGGCTGGATTCTGCTATAGCTCAAGAACTTATTTACACTATTAGAGAGGAGCTGCCTGAAAATGTACCCATAGGAAACATACCAAAGGATCTGAACATTTCTCACATCAATGCTGCCACGGGGACCAGTGCCAGCCTTGTCTACAGACTGGTGTCTAAAGCGGGAGATGCCCCTCTGGTCAAAGTGTCCAGTACCACTGGGGAGATCTTTACGACGTCTAACAGAATAGACAGAGAAAAACTCTGTGCTGGAGCTTCCTATGCAGAAGAAAATGAGTGTTTCTTTGAACTTGAGGTGGTGATTCTCCCCAATGACTTTTTTAGGCTGATCAAAATAAAAATCATTGTAAAGGATACTAATGACAACGCACCTATGTTTCCATCCCCTGTCATCAATATCTCCATACCAGAAAACACTCTGATCAACAGTCGTTTTCCAATCCCATCAGCCACAGATCCTGACACAGGTTTCAACGGCGTGCAGCACTACGAGTTGTTAAATGGACAGAGTGTCTTTGGACTGGATATTGTAGAAACTCCAGAAGGAGAGAAATGGCCTCAACTGATTGTGCAGCAGAACTTGGATAGAGAGCAAAAGGACACCTATGTGATGAAAATCAAAGTGGAGGATGGAGGTACCCCCCAGAAATCCAGCACAGCTATCCTGCAAGTCACAGTAAGTGATGTCAATGATAATAGGCCAGTTTTTAAAGAGAGTCAAATAGAGGTTCACATACCCGAGAATGCCCCTGTAGGCACTTCTGTAATTCAGCTTCATGCTACAGATGCAGATATAGGAAGCAACGCAGAAATCAGATATATTTTTGGTGCCCAAGTTGCCCCTGCAACCAAAAGATTTTTTGCTTTAAACAACACCACAGGGCTGATTACAGTGCAGAGGTCCTTAGATCGAGAAGAGACTGCTATTCACAAAGTGACAGTGCTGGCTAGTGATGGTAGCTCTACTCCAGCTCGGGCAACTGTTACCATCAATGTCACTGATGTAAATGATAACCCTCCTAATATAGACCTCAGGTACATAATAAGTCCCATCAATGGTACAGTGTACTTATCTGAGAAAGATCCTGTCAATACAAAGATTGCCCTAATTACAGTTTCAGATAAGGACACTGATGTGAATGGCAAAGTGATCTGTTTCATTGAGAGAGAGGTCCCCTTTCACTTGAAGGCAGTTTATGACAACCAGTATTTGTTAGAGACCTCTTCCTTGTTGGACTATGAGGGCACCAAAGAATTCAGCTTTAAAATTGTTGCTTCTGATTCTGGGAAGCCCAGTTTGAACCAGACTGCCCTGGTAAGAGTTAAACTGGAGGATGAAAATGACAACCCTCCGATTTTCAGCCAGCCTGTAATTGAGCTGTCAGTTTCTGAAAACAACCGTCGTGGTCTATACTTAACAACTATTAGTGCCACAGATGAAGACAGTGGGAAAAATGCAGACATTGTTTATCAGCTTGGCCCTAATGCCTCCTTTTTCGATCTGGATCGAAAGACAGGAGTTTTGACAGCCTCCAGAGTTTTTGACAGAGAAGAACAAGAACGTTTCATTTTCACTGTTACAGCGAGAGACAATGGTACCCCTCCTTTGCAGAGTCAAGCAGCTGTAATTGTTACTGTGTTGGATGAAAATGACAACAGTCCCAAATTTACTCATAATCACTTTCAATTTTTTGTATCGGAGAACTTACCAAAGTATAGCACTGTAGGGGTGATAACGGTAACTGATGCAGATGCCGGGGAAAATAAAGCGGTGACCCTTTCCATCCTGAATGACAATGAAAACTTTGTGCTGGATCCTTTCTCTGGAGTTATAAAGTCCAATGTTTCTTTTGATCGAGAACAGCAGAGCTCCTACACCTTTGATGTTAAAGCAATTGATGGAGGACAACCACCTCGCTCTTCTACAGCAAAAGTAACCATAAATGTCATGGATGTTAATGATAACAGCCCCGTTGTCATCTACCCACCTTCCAATACTTCTTTTAAGCTAGTGCCACTTTCAGCAATTCCAGGTTCGGTAGTAGCAGAAGTATTTGCTGTGGATATAGACACTGGAATGAACGCTGAACTTAAGTATACGATCGTAAGCGGAAATAACAAAGGTTTGTTTCGTATTGACCCAGTGACAGGTAATATCACTCTGGAAGAAAAACCAACTCCTAATGATGTGGGGCTGCATCGTTTAGTGGTCAACATAAGTGATCTGGGTTATCCCAAATCCTTGCATACTCTTGTGCTTGTATTTTTGTATGTAAATGATACTGCTGGAAATGCCTCTTACATTTATGACTTGATACGCAGGACTATGGAAACACCTTTGGACCGGAACATAGGGGACGGTAGCCAGCCCTACCAAAATGAGGACTATCTCACGATCATGATTGCTATTGTGGCAGGTGCTATGGTTGTCATAGTGGTGATATTTGTCACAGTTCTCGTGCGCTGTCGACATGCATCCAGATTCAAAGCAGCCCAAAGGAGCAAGCAAGGTGCTGAGTGGATGTCTCCCAATCAGGAGAACAAGCAAAACAAGAAAAAGAAAAGGAAGAAAAGGAAATCTCCGAAGAGTTCTCTTTTGAACTTTGTGACCATTGAGGAGTCCAAACCTGATGATGCTGTTCATGAACCTATCAACGGGACAATAAGCCTTCCAGCAGAGCTGGAGGAGCAAAGTATAGGAAGATTTGACTGGGGCACAGCACCACCAACAACCTTTAAGCCTAACAGTCCTGATCTTGCCAAGCATTACAAATCTGCCTCTCCACAGTCTGCTTTTCATCTCAAACCTGACACTCCAGTTTCAGTGAAAAAGCACCATGTGATTCAGGAACTCCCGTTGGACAACACCTTTGTTGCTTCCACTAGTTCAGATCACTTCAGTGCCTCAGAGTGCAGTTCCCAAGGAGGCTTCAAGACAAAGGGCCCCTTACACACCAGACAGGTAAACGAGCACTTTTACTGGTCTATAAGTACTGCATACAAGTGCCCGGTCAACCAGTATTAAAGTGCCAGTATGTTTTTTTGTTTCAGTCTAATTTTAGCTTAGTTATATTGTGGGGGGAACAAAAAAACAAAAGCAAACAAAAAACCAAAAGCAAACAAAAAAACTTGACCCCTTTATCATTTACCTGGGGCTCAACCATACGTCGGCAAAATGCCTCTGATACTTTACATTTTAAAGAACACTGATTGTTAAAGGACTGTATGCATTTGTGCAAATGCACATGCTTGTGAATTAAAAAAAAACAAAAAACAAAAAACTTTTTTTTTTCTCCCCAGTACTTGACTGTCCAAATGTAAAAGTTATTGAAGAAGAAAATCTGTTTCCTTACATACCAGATTTCACTCAGAAAATTTGACTGTTACAAGATTAAAAGGATATGTACATTCAATTTCAAATTTCAAAGTGAGTTGGCTTGAGTTTCTTTCATAGTTCAAGCTGATTTGGAACACTGTTAAGTTATTGTTGCTAAAGGGGTTAATTTTTTTCCCTAACAAAGACAGCAGAATTTCCAAGCTACTTCATCTGTGAAGCACGTGGTTTGTTGGTAGGATATAACTAAGCCATATGGAAGTCTTCCTCTGTTTTGAGCTCAAATGATTTTGTTGTAACAGATTAAAGTTGGTATCTCATAGACAGTTTGTTGCATATTTTAAAAATGGCCAAAGCTTACTGTCGAAAGGAATGCATTCTCTGAATACATCTGAATTATGTAGAAAAAGTCAGCCCATTGTAAATATTTTCTCATCTTAGTAATACATAAGTGATCTGTCATAACTCATTTTAAACTGTGAAATACACCATATGAAGAAGGATTAGGAGGCTGAGAAACTCATATTTCAACCAAATCCAGCATTAGTTTTTCTTAGGTCTAATAATTCCTTGCTAATAAAGATTTAAATGCAGCGCTGTCTAATTTATTTTATTGGTGCTTGTCTTTTGCCACTAAATTAGGATGTCAATATTGCCTGTAGATGGCACTAAGGTACTATGCCGCTTCTGCTGGCCAGATGCCAGTCCTGCAGTAGCTAGGAAAAGGGGGGAGGGAAGGATCAAGCTGATATTACAGCCAAAGAACCTTTTATTTAATGATAGTTGCACTGGAGTGGCCAGTAGTTAAGTTTGCGTGTTTGCAAAGGAGCTTTCTTAGTGCTTAGCTCTCACTGCACCGACTTTTTAGGTGTTAGCGATCAAGTTTGTATTCATGCTGGCATTGTACCCTCCAAGTTATGGTGATTTGTCTGAATATATTAGGGATATGAATCTTAGAGAATTGAGAAAGACACATTTAAGCTTGTCTTTGCAAAAAGATTTTGACAGCAGCCAAGTTTAGGATAAAGTCATTCTCTTGCTGTTGCATTAGCCTTATCTAAGATGAATGTGATGTTCCCAGAACCGTGTCTTGACTTTGGGTGTCTGTAAGGTGTCACACTAACAAGATACTAAGAATAAAACAAGCACTTCTGAGGCAGGTCTGTTAACGTAACTGCTCTAAAGCTGCTCATACTTAAAATGAGACACCGAAAACATCATAGAAAATTCTCACAAAACCATAACCTTTCAAAGGACTTTAAAGCATGGTAAACTCTCAGAGCAGTGTTCAGACTGTTACACAGCACCGTATACACACTGTCAGCATAAGTTAAAAAAGATGGCTGGTTTAAAAAAAAAAAACCCTTGAAAATAGAAA